TCATTTTCTAGGCTGCGTTTGATGCTATTGTTATTGCTCATTGTCCTACTTTACCAAGGTGACATAGTTATTCTAACAGCTATTCTGTCAGATATACTAAGACTGAGATTGCCTAAGAGTCATAAAATAATACTAGAGACCAGGTCTAAAGAACCAGAGGCTGGATCAACTAGACAGCAACTTCTCATTCCCAATAAACTGAAGAGGTAGGGTCTTGTAACTCTAAAAATCCTACAGAAAATTGGTATAGGTGGTGTTAATCTCAGTCTGATAGATGCCATCTATATCAAACCACTAGCCAGCATCATACTAAATGGACAAAAACTGAAAGCTCTCACTCTGAAATAAGAAACAAGACAAGGATGTCCACTCCCTCCACTCTTACTCAACATTGCTGCGGAAACTAGAGCCAGAGGAATTAGACAGAGAAAGAAATAAAAGGAGAAAGGGTGGATAAAGGAGAAGTTAAATTAGCATTATTTGTGGATGACATGATACTCTCAGAGAAGACCCTAAAAGCTCTACCAAAAAACTTCTAGATTTAATAATCAAATTTAGTAGCATAGCTGGATACAAAGTCAGCACTCAAAAATTGATAGCATTCCAGTATACAAATAACAAGCTCACTGAGAGAGAAATCAGGGAAATAACACCTTTGGAAACAGCATTCAAAAAAATGAAATACCTAGGAATCAGTCTGACCAATGAAGTGAAAGACCTCTACATTGAAAACCACAGTACTCTGAAAAAGGAGACTGAAGAGGATCTTGGAAAATAAAGGCTTTCCTTGGTCTTGTGTAGGAAGAATCAATATAGTGAAATGGCCATACTTCCAAAATTGTTACACAGGTTTAATGCAATTCCTATTTAAAATTTTCCAGTAGAATATCTCCCATAATTAGAGATAACCATCCTAAAATTCACTCTGAACCAGAAGAAATCTAGAATAGCAAAGGCAACTCTGGCCAACAAAGGCATGGGAGGAGGCATCACAATACCTGACTTGAAATTATATTACAAAGCTGCTCTGATAAAAACAGTATGGTACTGCAAAAAAACAGATGTGAGGATCAATGGAACAGATTAGAAGATGCAGAAAAAACTCGAAACACACTGATACATTTTGTGTTCCACAAAGAACCCAAACAACTCCACTGGAAGAAAGACAGCCTCTTTAATAAGTGGTGTCCAAAAAGACTGGCTCACCACATGCTGAAGATTAAACTTAGACCCATATCTTTCAACATTCACTAAACCAAAATCAACACCAACACAGAAACGTTAAATCTGCTAGACTAGATAGAACTCTCAAAGATACTAGTGTAAGAAAAATTTTATGAATAAAACCCAGTCACTCAGAGACAGCTCACTGTGTGGGAAAAACATTTTCACCAGACATTCCTGAGACAAATGCCCAATATCCAGCAAATATAAAAAATTAAAAGATATTGGATCCCCCATGTTTAAAGATCCAATTCAAAAATGGGCATCTAAAGTTAATAGGCACTTCTCAGATGCAGAAGTAGAAATGGCTAATAAATGTTTTTAAAATGTTTAATAAGTGTTTTTAAAATGTTCAACATCACTGCTCGGGGACCACACATCATAGATTGAGTCTAGGCAACTCCAAAGCTGCTCTCACCCTGCCCTTGAGCCATGAAACACCCTGTTCTTTTCTTGTCACAGCTGGAAGCCCCAGGGCTAGTGACAAGGTAAGACCTGCTAAAAATGATACGGCACTTGGGGAATGACAGTTTTCTTATTGCCCCCGCTCCCCCTGCACCGTGCTCTTGTCCTTGTCCTCATGAGAATGGTTTGTCCTTATTAGCCCACTATGGCCACCATTACTGTCCCCAGAAGCACCAAGCCCCCTACCCACTGTCCTTGGCTTGGATGTAATGAATGAACACCACGGTTCTGGGCGCCTGTGCACAGCTGCTCACCCCACATCCACGCTCCTGCTCTTTCTTCGCACTACGTGCTGTAACTCTGAATAGGATATTAGGGACTCACTGATGGGTCCCTAACAACTGGTACCACGGAAAGGGGTAATCACTGCTCATTTGAAAGATGGAAATTAAAACAACACTGAAATTCCATCTTATTCTAGAAATAATGGCTATTATCAAGAAGTCAGCCAATACCAAATGCTGGTGGGGCTCTGGGGATAAAGGAATGCTTGTCCACGGTTGGTGGCAGTGCAGACTGGTGCAACCACTGTAAAAATCAGTGTGTAACCCTCAAGAAACTAGGAATAAAGGGTCCACTTGATCCAGCTATTCTCCTTCTTGGAGTTTTTCCAAAAGAATTAAAAGTATCAGACCTGTGTGATACAGGCACACGTGTTTAGAGCAGCACACTTTGTAACAGCTAAATCCTGGAAATAGCCCAAGTGCCCATCAACCAGTGAATGGATAAAGAAGACGTGCCGTTGTATATACACTGGAGTATGACTCTGGCATAAAGAAGGATGAGCTGGAGACATTTCTGCGTAAACAGACGGACCTTGAGACAATCCTGCTAAGTGAAATATCACATGGTTTCCCTGGTGTGGGAAACTACAAGTGTAAGGAGGAACCAAAATACATACTAGATGCTGGGAAATAGGAACAAAATGTTCGAATGAGAAGAACAAGGGAGGGAGAGGGAGAAAGGAAAAAAGGGGTAACAGAAAAAAGAACAGAAGAAAAATGGAAACAAAGTTCTATAAATAAGGAGGGAAAGAAAACTGAAGGGACAGGAGGGAATTGGAAGAAAGAAGAAGCCAGATAAACCACGAGCAGGTGCACAGTCCCTCTGATGCATGCTATCACTATGTGTATCTAAAATGTACCAGCCACGTAAAAGGAAAAATAGTGAATGTATTATTTAAAAAGAAAGAAAGAAAATTAATTTTAAAAGACGAGACTCCGTCTAACTGATTCAGAAGAAAGTCTACTTTCAGGTTCTGGAGTGACACTTTGAATGACCAATTAAAATACATGTTTTAAAACCGTCCTGTGATAAGCCCTGTTGATATTTGCTTAAGAGATGCATTGTTCCGTGTCCACCATTTGGTCAGCAACAGGGACAAGATAGAGGTGGCAGGAAGTCAGTCTTCTGCTGACAAATGTGTTCTGTAAAGAGATATCTGGAGATGGGTACAGTGGCACATGCCTGTAAGCTGTTACTGGGGAGGCTGAGGCAGGAGGGTCACAAGTTCGAGGCCATCCTGAGCAACTGATGAGACCCCGTGTAAGAAGTGCAAGGGCTGGGATTGTAGCTCCGTGACAGAGCACGCGCTGGGCTAGTGTAGGAGATGCCCTGGGCTCAGTCCTAGTACTACAATAAACAAACAGAGCCTATGCAGTTCCCCCAGCAGATCCTTCCCCGTCCAGACAGTCAGTGGAAACAAATGATATCATCACTTATGTAAAATCCCCTCACTCCGAAGAGGCAAGAAAGTCACAAATTCAAGGTCATTCTCAGGTACATAGGAAATTCCTGACCAGATTGGATGACTGATCTAAAACCATAAAAAGATGAAAGGTACATTAAATTAAACAAAGTCCAAATGTTACTCAGAAGTCAATAGCAGTTTTAAAGCCAAAGAGAGCTCAAAATATTGTAATTTAACTGGCACAATATTTTAAAGTTTTTCTAGGGCTGGGGATGTGGCTCAATGGTAAAGCACTGCGTTCAAATCCCAGCACCACCCAAAAAACAAAAATTTTTGTGTGTCAAGATTTGGCAATCAAAATGTTCCCCCATAAAAGTTCATATTCAAACTCCCCTAGAGAAATCCAAAGGAAGCCTGTATTCTAGCCTAGGCCAGGACCGACGACCGCCCCACTTTTGACCATGAGAACAGTCTCTGCGGCCTGGTGGTTTGTTTGTGTCAACCTGGTGGCTGGCAAGCAGCCAAGATCCCATCATCAAGGTTAAATAGCACTTTTAAGTTTGTATTTCTGAGTTGGATAAACTGAAGCAGTTATAAGAGTAGAAATGAAGAGGATAATCTTGTCTGCATACGTAAACACAACCTCTTACATAAAACGTAAGAATTTTTATGAGTCACTCAACAATTGCTCAATTGTTTCATAAATAATTGTCTGCTTCTTGTGGTGACTTATAATGTGATCTTTAATTTCATTCATTGGAGGGTGAGATAATTGTTCTTTTATTACACAGTCTTCTATGAGCTGGACACTGTTCTAGGCTCTGGAAATCCTTCAGAAGTGAGCCTGTTCCCTTGGAGACCTTGCTTATTGTGGAGGAAAGAGAAATGTACAAATATAATTCCTGCAAAGACCGACAAATGCCAAGAAATAAAGTATTAAAGAAAGTGTGGCAAAGGCTAATGTAGAGTGAGATTTTCCAATCAAGTACTCATTTTAACCTATAAAAAGTGACAAACACATATATCTAAACCCCCACACCCCCAATGGAAAACCTTGTTTTCTACAAGTTCTCAAGGGTTAACTGTAACAGCTGCATCTTTCCTCCCAAGCAAATAAAGTAAAATAAAAATGAAGTGGAAGGTTAGGTACTTACAGACCTCACAGAGCTTAGCTGGAGCGCCTGGCCACACCCTGGGGGCGCACAGCTGGGAACAGCCCACTTTAATCCAGCTCCAGCTAATCTGGAGAAAACAGCGCCAACCGTCTCCCTCTCTGCCTTGACTATGACCCTGTTGCTCTGCTGCGTGCATGTTACTGGTAAGTAAGGAAATTCTGTGCTGTTCACCTTGCAACCATTCATTTCCCTCATGAGAAAATTTTCTCTGTGAAGACAATGAAGTCTCTTCATTCCCAACTCTCACAACCTTTTCATGCTGAAATCTATGCAAGAGAAAGTGAGTGTCATGTAGTAAAATAATTTTAAATAAAATAGTCTGAGAGCATTTGTAAGAAAATATATAACATACAAAGAATTTTTCAGGTACATTAGACATCAATAAGAATGTTTAAGATCTAATTTCATAAATGGAATCTGAAACAATTCTTTTTTATTGAAACCACACCATGAACCCTCTGTCGACTATTTTCTGGATCTCTGCCTGCCAAATACAAGTCACCAGCAAGTTCCTACTTGTCATTTAATAGCATTTTCCTCTGAATAAAATAGACTTCGGCTCTCTAGTCATATGCAAACCTAGAAAATATTACTACATGTAACTAACTGAAAATGTAATATTATTTTCATTCTTTAGTACATAGCATGATTGCAGAATTTCATCCTCCACACCAGGTTTCTCAATCATAATTATTGTCTTTGTCTATCAGCCAAATAAAATAAAAGGGGAAATTGAGAGAGTAGTTTTACAATATTTCTGAAGCCAGAGGTAATTTCTCAGGGTACTTTTTACTATGGACAAAAGAATATATGTACATTTACATACAATACACATTCCACACTCAATGATAAAAGAATTCAAGAAAAAGCCTTTCCAATTGCTCTGTTGTAGGTTTCTGAGTGTTTCATACTGTGTTTAAATAAAACAGGCTATTTTGGTATTAGGATATTCTGCTATGTTCTAAACTGAATAATTAGGCAACTTCCCAGCTCAAGGGTGATTGTATGTCTTTCTATTCAAGACGGCAACTCTATGAGTAGCTTCGAAAGTCAAAAACTGTCACAGGATCCAAGTTATCAGTGCAAAAAGCATATTTATATACAGTAATCATGTCTCAATATTATAACCTTTTGCCACAAGTACCTTTTATTCAAAGAAAAACAACTCAAATTTCTTCTATTTCAGCTTTAATAAAATTCACATTTCAAATTAATGTAATGAAGACCACAAATTCTTAGTAGATGCATTAAATATTAAATAAAAATTATAAAAAATTGACTTTGCATATTACAAAATCATACACAAAACAAATAATCATTTCATACTTGCCCTCTCTGACATAATTTACATCATTAAATGTTTAACATGGAATGCTAACCATGTAAGAAAATAGTATTTCCACAAAATAAAGTAGAACACAATTTTAATATTGTATTTGTAGTATGCAATTTAAGCCTTGTTTTCCAAAATGATAAATTACTGTGTACACAAAGATAAAGCAAGGACTGCATTTTGGGGCAGAACACAGCTAATCTTCGATTTCTAGGAAGTCCCTTTGTCTACTTTGGTTAATATCCCAGAAGCAGAAGTTTCATTTCCTTTACATTTACTGTGAATCCAGGCACTTTTTTCAAATTACATTTGCATCCTTAAAAAAAGCCTGTGGGGAGAAAAAGAAGAAAACATTAGTGACCTAGCTTTAACAACTATAAACATGCATGTTACACTGTATTTATTCATGTATTTATGTGTTTTTCTTTAATTTTGCTCAAAGGCTCTATGTATCTCATCCTAGGAATACAGACTAACGGATTCATGTAGGAGGTCTTTTAAAAGTGTAAGATGAAAACTACAGAAAAAATCACTAACGCCCTAAGCTTCACAATCAAAGAGTCACATTTATCAGCTCTGTCTTCTATAGCTCTAGATAATGCAGATTTTATACAATATTTTATTAGTTTTCCTTTTTTGCCATGCAGGACACTAAACCCAGGGCCTCATGAATGCTAACACGCGCTCTACCCCTGAGTATATCCCACCATGCAGTTTAGATTAGAATTCACTACTTACTTAGAGGGAATTTTTCAGTAATTATGTTACCTAAAGGACTTTATATTTACATAAAATACATTAAAAATTAAAAAATAGATGTTTAGTTCAATACCCAGATGATTTTTTGATTTATTCACATTTTATTTACATCATTCAAACCTCTGAGATAGTATAAAGGTAATTGATTGAAGCAGCTTGCCACTAAATACTAACTACTGAAATGCTCTCTCTCATTTCCCTAATCTAATGCAAGGGAAAGTTTTAAATTTAGCATCTTAAATATTCAGAATTAGCAGTGCTAATTATTATTAATGTTTACTATAACTTAACATAACAACAGTAGCAGCGAAAGAGCCGAGTCACAACACAGAATCATGATTGGGCATTTTATTTATCTGCTTCCTTATTTTTCTTTGTAGGTATGTTCCTTTGTGGTGTTTGTTTCGTTGCTGTTCCTGCCACGCTATATTCCACCTAAGATCAAACCTAAGGCCTCATGCACACCAGGCAAATGCTGTACCTCTCAGCTACAGCCTCAGTCTACATAGTTCGACAATCTTAAATTACAGCACTCAGATCTTTCCCTTGTAATTATTATTAGCTTTGCTAATTTAGGTTCCCAAAAGAATCTATTAGATCAATGAGTTATCACATGATTATCATTATTCAAAAAATGAGGTCAGGATTGTCTCAGTAACTGTCAAAAAAAAAAAAAAAACTTGTGAAATGGTCTATGTAAGTCTCTTGTATCTGCAGTACCACAGCCAGTGCAAAAAATTTCTATACTGAAGGTGGCCCATGAGTGTCGTTGTCACCTGTGTAACCTAATACACAAATGTCCTTCACGGGACTTGTCCATGGTGCTGAAATCTGACCCCAAAATGTAGACTGTACCACACTGGGGAAGAACTACTCATTAGAAAAATAGTGTTGCTAAGAAATTAGTATCTTTCAATATTTTATATTGATTCTACTTTTGTGAATAAGTTTTATCATTTATAGTAAGATTTTTTACTATTTACTGCCCTAAGGCTCCCAGAATAATTATGCCAGCATAAAAATGTTGAGGTCTCATTCCATTTGTCACGGAATAGCCTAGAACACATGATGACTTAATCATTATATTTTAATTTTTTTCAATTTTTACAATATCTTCTGCCTACTTGTTATGCTATATAAAATAAATTTTTCAGACCTAGTTTCTCTTATTACATCTGTTAGCCAGTTAAGAAAAGACAGACCTGTGAATCCTCCTGCTGTCTGTCTGCATGTTTTCACGCAATAACAAAGTACACTAAAAACTGTTGAATTAGCTTCTTTAATCACTCAAACCAGGAAGAGTGCCACAAAGCTCTTTATCATAAGGAAATCACTGCACAGGACATTTAAAGATTTTTTTAAAAATTAAAAATAACAATAAAACAGTTTTGAAAAGGCTAGTAGGAAAGTAACAATATTTAATACATTGCATATTTCTATATTCATAATGGTTGTTCAGAGCACAAGATACAGACACGAAGTACAGTCCAAACCATACTGGCACAAACCTTTATTTTCAATGAACTAAGAGATACCAGCTGTATAACTATCCTAACTATCTCATCTACATATATTTTTTTTCCTTTTCCCCTTTCTCCCATCACATTTTTTCTTTCTTTGGGACAGTTCCTTCCCTATGTCCAATATCTATTGTATACTTTGGATCTCATTTATTTCTGAAACACTTCAGATTAATTCAGTAAAACAATCAGTGCCTTTTAGATCACGCTTGAACACGAAGTAGACAATCCTCAGGTTCACTAGACACTGCTAAGATCAGCCCTGTTCTACTTCACTCACAGTTTTCTCAAGAGAATTAGACTCTTAGGGCTGCGGCTGTAGTCAGTGGTAGTACAGTGGATGCTCAGCATGTGTGAGACTCTAGATTTGATTCCCATCACTACCCCCCCAAAAAAAGAAACAAAAAGTGAAAAAAATCCAAAAACTTAAGTAGTATTAAACAAGATAAAAAGAACAAACACATACTCACATTCAAGGGTAAGGATTTAGGTCTGTGAGCACAGTGAATTTACTGCCAGTCTTTTCAGCAACCTGGCACATCTTTTGTAATCTAGGGAAAACATTTAGACACAAGTTATAGATGTAGTTATACTGTGGGCAACATCATGTCAATTGCCACTAATTGATTGAACAACAGATACAATTTAATAAGCACCCAATACATCAATTGCTTAACATAGATTTTCTCATTAACTCCCCCCAAAAGTGTGATTTTTATCTTCATTTAAAGACAATAAAGAGCCTCAAAATGGTGCTTATTGCATTGCTAGCACACAGTTGGGTCCCAAAAACCTGCACTGTCTCCAGCACACTGTGCCACCGCTTAAAGACTTTTTCTTTAGCTCCAATGTTTCACTCTCCTTCGTTTCCTCAGTATTATTCAATACTAATTATTTTTGAAAAAGAATTACAACAAATCTGACCCAACATCCTGAGTCCTTAAGATGAATAATCCAGATAATAAGAAACAAAATACTTAAAATTCATTTTCTTTAAAAGGAAAGTGGAGGGCTAGAAAGGAATTCTAAAAACAAGCGAGTGAGTTATTACACATAACCACAATTTGAGCATTTTAAATGATGGCACTGGAGGACAGTGTTTGGATTATTGACTTCAGTAACTTAAGTACCCAAAAGAATTCATTAGAGCAAACTTTTAATAACACAAGCTACCATTACTCAGAAAACATCCAGCACCCAGTTTATAAGTGACATGCTATAAAAACATTTACTTTAAGATAACTTATGAGGAAATTCTGAGTTACATTTCATAGTCCTTTCCGTTTTTCATTTCTATGAGGGAGGACTTTATTTATGCCAAGGAATTTGAATAATGATAAAATGCTTCAATCCAGGCAAACATTTTGATCTTTAAGGAAATCTGGCTATTTTCAGATTTGGATATATTTCCAACTAGAATGTGATTTTATTCCTTATAGTTTCAACAGCATACACAAAACTTAAGTACTGTCAGAGTTATAAATAGCTTCCCATGCAATGTTTAGTCTGTTATGTTCCATTTGAAGGCAGCTGGAGCTTAAAACTGCATACATTCACTGATGGGTAGGATATTTTTTAAACTGCCCAAGCGACTTACAAGCTGGCATTGAGCAATCCCTGGTATTGTGGTAGACTCGATGGAAATGTTTGCTACACTCAGCTGAGAATGTGACCGGCCCTGGAAGACAGGAAGAGAATGCTTATTATAAACATGGGCATGTTTTCCCAAACAGATTGCTAGCACTTTATGGATGATATAATAGAACTGTAGCTTACATCCTTCCTGCCTTAAAAGAACTTGCCTGAGAGCTCTTCCCCTCACTCAGATTCTGTGGGTGGGAGGGAGCTGTGATCTGTGGAAAATAATCTGAATTCGTTCCACATTATCAGCATGTCACAGTACGGAACCTTCGTTTCCAGTAAAACTCTTTAGAGTAACGGGAATGGAAAAGCCCCCAGATTGAAGGGGAAAAATGCACAGAGTAAATCAAGTGGATGTAAGAAGATAAACATCATTATTTTTACTTTCTGTTCTCTCTTTTTATGTGATAGGAAGACATTTATTTTACTTTTTAATTAAAGTGACACATGTTGGCTTAGTGTCCATGGCTGCTGTAAGGTAGGCAGGGTCTTGAGACTTTTCTTGTCTCCCCCTATAAATCCAAAGTAGACTCCATCAAAACGTTCACCCTTCCACCTCCCTCTACTAGAAATGGAGAAGTAGAAGAGCCGTCCACTCTGGCCATTAAGACCTCCCATCCTTACATACGAGGCAGATGGATCTCTCCTTGATCCCCATGATCAAACTTTTAAAGTTCATTAACAACTATGGTGCTTCTATTTTATAAAGGAGGAAAGCCAAATGCAAAAACTGCATCTTTCCCATACTACAGTCCTGGGATATAAAACAATAGAAGGCAGCTGAGATGATCAGGAAGAGAGAGGCAACAGGAAGTGTAAGGGGCCAACCTCATAATAATTTAGCAATTTCTCTAGAACGTGGAGCATGGGGTGGTTTGAATATGATTCACAACAGCATCAGCACAGAGCAGGTCTTCTGGGTCTAAGTTATGACACGGTCTGTCTCTCCCCTGCCCAAAACCTTGTGCTGCCCTGGGTTGCTGGGAATCCTGTCTAAATCCTCAGCCCACACTTAAGATCACGAGCACTACGCCTCCAACCTACCTTCCCAGCCATCAGTTCGCCTCTGACCCAATGCATCCTTCCCCGCGATCACCGATGTCCACGCCACCCACTTGCCCTTCCACTAACCACACAGTGAGCTGTCCTGCTTCCAGTGGATTCTTTCTGACCAGACGCTGCTCTCATCCCGGAAAAATCCTGTTCATCCCTAAATCAACTAAATACTATGTCTACTAAAAGCCATCCCTGGTTCTTGGCCAAATTATTCACTTCCTGTGTAGCCCTAAAACTTATTTACACTTCTACCTATCACAATCTGACTTGCATGACAATTCATACATGCGAGCAGCACCTGTCCGTGTTCCTGGCTGGACTGCAAGCCTCTTCCACACACTGATCTTCTCAGACCCAGTGCCTAACACAGTACCCTGCAGCCAATCTTGCTATTTGACTGAATCACTAATACACTGTGGCCTTACCTGTGAAATGCTTTATGAATTTGTCTTTCAAGTTCAAATCTCTTGGGAATATTTCTGAAAAGAAAAAAAAAACACTTCAGAGTTTCTAGAACACATTTCTAAATATCGATCATGTGCTACAAGTACAAGCACTAAACACACGAATCTTTGGTAGTTTGTGAGTTGATCTCAGATGTCTCTCTCCATCCCTGACCGTGCCATGGAGCTCCAGAACTCCAGCAGAGCTGTTTGCTGACCTCTCAGGTCATGACTAAACTTCTCATCTCCTAGCTGCCCCAAACCTGTCCCCCCATTCAACGTTTTCCCCATTGTAAATGGCACGACTTTTTACCCTTTGCTTAGTTTGGAAATCAAGAAGTTACACCTGATTTCCTCTTTCCCTTGATATTGCATCCAACCAATAAGTGAGCTTTGTATATTTCCTTTCCAAAACTTTATCCCAGCCTCATGCATTTCTGTGTCCTTCCATTAGCACAGGCTGGTCCAAGACATCATACTTCTGTGACTGTGTTTTGGCAGCAGCCTCCACACCACTTTTCTCTTCCTTATAATCCTTTTTCCCATGAAGCTGCCAGAGAAAATGAATCGAAATATACTTCAGGTCATGGGACTCTCCTACTTCAAAGGCATCAAGCTTAAAATAAAATAAAATTTGACAGTCAAGTTATAGCTCAGACTGTAGCTGGCATTCCCTAAAAATATGCTGTACAGAAAATGCAATTTATAAAAATAATTGGGCGCATATGCAACTCATTTAAAAGAAGAATCTTAAATCTTAAAAAAATGCTTGAAATACAAGGGCTTGGGGGAGCTATGAATGCTTTTATGGTAACTGACTGCTATGTATGTCGAAGATGTGACACAGACGTGAACACCTGTCACTTGCCACAGGGGAGACTGAGCTTAGACCGAATGAAGACGTGAGATTCAGTAGCTCTTCACACCTGAAAGCGCATCAGGGGTGAGACCCTGCCTCCCAGCAGGTAGCCTTGCAGCTGTGGGAGCCCTAGGCACGAGTGAGAGCGGGAGGCAGGAGCATCAGGGCTGTCACCTGCTGGGGGACAAATACCTGTGCTTTACAATCAAAAATAATGCTGAAATAAATCAGGAGTGCAGGAAACATATTTCGGCAGGTCTTCTGGAGTTCTCTTCAGTGATGTTCCAGCCTGCATGAGGCCCTTTCCCCCACACCTCTGGGACACTCAACATTGCAGCTGGCCAGGGGCGCCGCACCAGCACTTTCTGAAAGATCGGCCAACTAAGTGCAAAAACAAGTGCTTAGAAGTCATTCTACTCCCAGGAGCATTGCAGACGGTGGGCAATGATGACAATTCGGGTTTGTAAATAAGTGACACATTTTAAGTAAGCTATCCCCTACCCTCCACCTTTCAAACGCACTGTGTAACTTCTGTCAAAGTAGTTGCCACATTTTGATCAGCATGACGGTGCATAGGGCGTATGTCTGTCCCCATTACAATCCTCAGGGCTTTAACACCGGCAGCGGGCACAGCACTACTTTGCCGACAGGGGGCGCCTGTTACAGTTCAAATGGAAATGGCGCAAGCTTCGTTGGCGCTCCCTACAGGCCACCAAAAGCATCACAGTTTTAGTACAATTGGCTAAATATATCCATGGGCAAACTGACACCAACGAAACAAGGCGTTACAGACCCTAACCCTAACAGACTGATGTAACCGAAACTGAGATGCGGTACTTAAGTAGTAAGTACTTAAGTAATGAACAAGCGATACCTGTGCAAGAAGAAGAAAAAGGAAGAACCGCCCTTGGGTTTGATTGGCTGAGGGAGAGTGGAATGAGGCAGAGACAGAGGCAAGGCTGCAGGTGGACCTGGCCTCGGGAAGAGGCAGGGAGATTGGAGCAAGAGAATGACAAAGTCGAGCTCCATTTAAGCTTTAAAAAAAAAAAGGTCTATTGCACAAGGGTAATTGCTAGGACAGATTCTTAGGTGTTCTTACCATAAATAGTACCTGTAGAATGGTGGCTACGTTGGTTTGCTTCCCTACAGTAAACATTTCACTATGCATACATTTAGCAAGGTATCATGTTGTGCACATGAAATATAAGCAACAAAAATGTCATACACAGTTCAAAAGCCTTTTAAATAAATATTAAAATATTAATAAATATTAAATATAAGTAAATAAGTATTAAAAATAAAAATTTAGGGGCTGGGGATTTAGCTCAGCGGCATAAGCGCCTGCTTTGCAAGCAGGCAGTCGTGAGTTCGATCCCCGGTACCGATAAAAAGGAAAAAGACAAAAAAAAAAAATTTAATGATCGGGATGTCTACTATGCAAGAGCAAGAGGCAGAGACTACTTTAAATGTCTACAGAGCAGAAGTCGAGTCTAAGACCCCACCTGCCAAGCCTCAGGCTGGCAGACACTGTTCAGGAGCACAGGGAGCCTTGCACCCGTGTTCACAAACTAAGTTCCACGGGACACAGCCACTTCCACTGCTCCTGTGTGGTCACTCAGCAGCGTCCAGGCTGAGGGGTTGTTACAGGCAAATTTGCCCACAAAGCCCAGGTTCTACACTTTCTGGCTCTCTCTATAAAAGACAACCCATAGCAGTCTCCTCTCTGTACTAAACAGCAAGAGACACCAGGAAAGAGAGCTCTGAGAGTTGAGAGATGTTTCCATGCTCATCCTTTTTACGACTCTCAATTTTTGAACATGTCTGTATTAAGTTTTTCAATAAAAAACTGGCCAATTGAAAATAAATTTGCATTTTTTCATAAGATGCAAACTTTGATCTATCCCTGCCATTGTGTAATTTTGTAATTTATGGCTGCTATTGTTCTGTATTATTACTTTCTTATACTGGCTTTACCAGATACTTTAAGACCCATCTTGTGCTCTTTCTGTCTTAGCTCTAATATCAGGGATTTCTCCAAAGAGTCCTGATTCCTTTTATTTATAAAAGACACAAGAAACAAAGGGCCAGGCCCCTGGCAAGCCAAACGCCCCTGCTGTTACTGGGATGCAGTGGCTTCTGGGGATGTAGCTCACTATGTTCCTGAGTTCAATCCCCAATACTGAAGGAGAAAGTAAAAAAGAAATGTCCTACACCCAATGCTCCATATCTGTAAGTTCTGTGTCTTCAAGTCAACCATTTTCCCCCAATATACCTGGGGAGGATGCATCTATACTAAGTGTGTACAGCCAGGCATGGCAGTGCACACACCTGCAGTCCCAGCACTCATCAGGCTGAGGCAGGAAAATCATTGCAAGTTCGAGGTCACCCTGGGCTACAAAGTGAGCTCCAGGTCAGCCCAAACTGCACAGCAAGACCATCTCAAAACGACAAAAGAAAAAAAAAGTTTCACTAATTGTGTACAGACTTTTTCCTAGTCAGTGTTCTCTAAACAATACCATATAATGACTGTTTCCATCATATTTGCAAGACTTAGGTTTTATAAGTAATTTCGGGATGATTTAAAGTACACATCAAGATGTGCATGGGTTATATGCAAATGCCAAGCCATTGTGTGAAAGTAAACTTTGTGAAATTTGCTACTGGGCAAGCAGGTGTGGAATCCATCCCCCATAGATTCTGAGTGAAAACCGAATTGTGCTTTAGTTTTCCAGGACTGCTATGACAAAATTCCTGGAATTAGATGGTTTATAGCACAGGATACTTAACGCCTTGTGATCTGACAGCCAGAAGTCCGAGGTCAAGATGTGGGAAGGGCCACGCTCTCTCTGAAGGCTCAAGGGAAGGACCCTTCCTTACCTCCCCAACTGGGGCTCCCTGAAGCCCCTTGTGCTCTGTGGCAACCTCCCATGCGACCTTCATCATGACTCGGTGTCCTCCTGCATCTCTGCATCTCCACGTGGCAGTGGATAGCAGGATTACACACACACACTGAACTAAGGACCTTTTTGTTACCAGCTTCACTCTAACTAATTATATCTGCAAGGCCCCTGCTTCCTAATAAAGCCACATTCCGAGGCCCTGGGGTGTGGTGCTAGAACATTTCTTTCTGGTGTGACAAAATTCAACTCATGGAAATCTCAATCTACTAAACAAAAATACTGATTTTATTAGTTGAGTTATCAACATTATTTATTTGCACCATTAAAAAAATTACTTCTAAATGGTTTATCAAAAATTACAGAATTTTTTAGTTACAGAATTTCAATGTATGCATAACTTTTACATAAACACAGACATTCTGTTAAGTCCCTTGCAAAAGAGATCAGTTCGTCAATTTGGTCAACACAAGTTGTAATGAACCAATGGTAAAGAATATTCCAACTAAAACACTTCTCCAAACAGAAAATAGTTTTGAAACACTGACTCCAGGTAATTTAGAGTGCTAAAAATTGTTCAGAGATCGCATTTAAGCTTTTTATAAAGTAACATTTGAAAAAGTATATTAAATCATTGTTTTTCCCTCACAAATAGGCTTTTGAGAAAAAATTCATATCCTAATATTGAAAACAGAATCATTCTGGAAGATCCCAACTGCTTTCAAGACATTTTTTAAAATTATTTTTTATTATTGGGCAGTTTCAGCTACACCAAAAACTTACATATCACGTTCCCAACATCCTATTTCTCCTACTTACACATTTCTTGCAATTAATGACCCTGTACTGACACACTATTACTCACAAAGCTCTATATTTCATTAATTTTCGAATCTCCCTAGTTTTTGCCTAATGTCCTGTTGTTGTCATATCTCCCAGGGTCCATTTGGCTGTAACAGTTTTTCAAATTTTGTTTTGGATGACTCTGACAGCTTTAAGGAATTCTGGTTCAGTATTCTGTGGAGTGTCCTTCATCTGGAATTTGTTTTTCTCATGACTACATGTGGGCTATCAGTTTGAGGCGACCACACAAACAAAATGGCATTTTTTCTTACATCGTATCAAGGGTGCAGAGAATCAGTATTATTTGTTATCTGTGGTGTTGACCTGGCTTACCTGGCTGAGGCAGTGTTGTCTCCACTGTAAAACTCATCCGTGCCCTTACCTTCCTTTTCATCAGAGATCACTGTGCTGTGCATCTACTAGGGGTCATGTTCCTC